TGCTTTTTTCAGGCGTGGTGGTCCTTCTCCTGCTTTTGTGGTGCCCCCGTCCGCCAAGTATCTCAAGGAGTTACACGCGTGCTGGAGGGACCCCAGCCGTCTCTCTAAGCTTTCGGCTGAGGATCGGGCCTTGGCCGCTATGCAGAATGCCTCTTCGGCTGGCCTGGATTGCATGCCTGCTTTTGAGCCGGCTCATTGTTTCCCCAGAGGAATCCTTGCGGGAGAATGTGAGGTGCCCTCGGAGCCAGTGTCGTGCGACGGATCACTTGATTACCAAGGCCTACAATTCTGGTGCTCGGGCGGGCCGGATTGGTAACTCCTTAGGGCATCTGCTGCTTGCCCTGTCTGCCTCTTTTCAGGAGAGTGGTGCTGTGGGCACTGATGCTACTGCGTTTAGCGACGCAGCTCTGCATGCATTTGCCTTGATGACCAGGGAACTCGGGCAGGTCATGTCGGTCCTTGTACAGGCTCGTCGGCAGGTATGACTGGCTCAGCCTCCCCTGAGTCGTAGGACCCTCCGTAATGTGCCTGTCGAGCCGGGTCAGTTGTTTGGGACGGCTGCCCAGGAAGCGTTGGACCGGACTGTCCATACTGATCAGACTAGACGACAGCTTTCTAGCCTTAGCAGAGTTGTGCGCCCTCCCCGACAGTTCATGCGCCCGATGGCGGCCCCCAGTGTTTGGCCGCCGCCTCGGGATTGGTCTGGTGCACAGCGTGATCCCCGGGACAGGCCTGCCGGGAATTTTTGTGCTCTACCCGCACCTAGGCGCCCTGCCCGCCGGTCAGGTGGCGCTGGGACTGGCCCTGGACGTTGTCCCCCCGGAGTCCCTAGGGGGCGCGGAATTGACTCGTTGGGGCCGGTTGTCGGACATTTTTCCCATCAGCAGCTCGAGTGTTGGGCTGCTCGAGCTCGGGATCTGTGGGTGGTTGCCACATTGACCCACGGATACCGTCTGCAATTGCGACGCCGGCCGCACATGTCGGGCCGGGTCAAGTTGACTTTGATCACTGACCCGGCAAAAGCCTGTATTTTGGATCAGGAGCTCTCTGTCCTCCTGGCCAAGGGTGCCATCGAGGCGGTAGACCCGCTGCTGCAACCCAGGGGCTATTACTCCCCTTATTTCCTCGAGTCCAAGAAGACGGGGGGCTTTCGACCAATTTTGGATTTGAGGGGCTTGAATGATTTCCTGAAGGTCATTCGTTTTGCATGCTGACGACTGCGGAAGTCCTTCAGACTGTTGTGGCCGGGGAATGGTTCACGCCCATTGATTTGAGGGACGCGTATTTTCACGTCCATTGCGTCCATTGTGCAGCCACACCAGCACTTCCTACCTTCTTCCCTTTGGCTTCTCTCTCTCTCTCCGAGGGTTTTCACTCGATGCATGAAGGCGGCTCTTGCTCCACTGCAGACCAGTGGCATGAAGGTGTTGCCTTATCTGGACGATTGGCTGATCTGTGCTCCGTCCAGATACGGAGCGCCTTCTGACTCATGTAGCCCGCCTGGGTTTCAGGGTCAATTTTGAGAAGCCTGGTGCCTTCGCAGGCCGCTGTTTTTCTTGGCATGAGTCTGAACACGGTGACTATGACAGCGCGTCCTTCAGTGCCGAACCGGGAAACCACACCATTGATGACGACCCGCCTGGTCGACATCCATGGTGTGGTTTCCCGGTACGGTCTTGGCACCCTGCACAGTTACTTCAGCTTTCTCCAGCGGGAGAAAGGTGGGGAAACTGGCCTCAATCTCTCGTGTGGTTCCACTCGGGCTGCTTTCGCTTCGCCCGTTGCAGAGGTGGCTGAACGGGTTTCGCTTGGATGCCACTCGTCACCGCCAGACGGCTTTAGGTGATGTGGGCATGTTTTTGTGCTTTGGCTCCATGGAGGGACCAGGGTCTCCTGTTGCGTGGGGTCCCCTTGGGGGTGGTAGTGTGCCGCAGGGAAGTGGTCACCACCGACGGCAGCCGTACGGGATGGGGTGCTGTGTGGCAGCACAGGTTGGCCCGAGGGGTTTGGTCTCGGGCGGAGCGCCCGAGACCAAACACCTCGGTCGTGTATCACATCAACACATCAACCTGATGTGTCTCAGGCTCTGCTGGTGTGGGCTGCGCCTCGTCTGTCTACGCTGCGTGCAGCGTATCTGCCAGGGGACTGCAATGGCGTGGCGGACTCCCTGTCTCGCGGGAGGCCTGCCCCGGGGGATTGGTGTCTCCATCCCAATGTGGGTATGGGGCTTTTTTGGTTGGGCGCAGGTGGACCTATTCGCTTCGGTGGCCTCCACTCATTGCCCTCAGTTTTTTTCCCTGGACGTAGCTCCGGGCTCCCTCGGTCAGGATGCCCTGGCGCACAGTTGCCCCAGGCCCTCCTGTACGCCTTCCCCCCCTTTTCCTCTGATCTGGCCCACCCTCCAGAGGGTCCTTCGGAAGGGGCACAGGTTGTTACTGGGGGCTCCCCCCTTGGCCTCTCCCTCCCAGGCGGGATCTGCTCTCGCAGCTGGACGGTCAGGTGTGGCATCCCTGTCCTCACCGCCTCCAGTTGTGGGTGTGGCTGTTGGCTGGCCCAAGCTGCAGGCACTCAATGTTGCTGGCCCTGTCAGGCGTACACTCCTGAATGCCAGAGCGGCCTCTACTCGGCGGCTGTATGGGATCAGGTGGAAGTTGTTCTCCCGCTGGTGTTCTTCCCGCGGTCGGGATCCGGTGTCGTGCCCGGTGGCGATTGTCCTGGAGTTCCTTTAGAGTATACGTGGGCCGACCTTCATCCAGGAGAGACTAAAGGTATATGTTGCTGCTATTTCATGTTATCATGGCTTGGTTGATAACGATACTGTGGGGGGCCATAACCTGGTATCTCTCTTTTTACACAGAGCTCGTAGGCTGCACACTTGCGCGCCCGCGCGGTCTCCGGTTTGGGACCTGGCCTTGGTGTTGGGAGTCGCTCTGCCACCCTCCGTATGAGCCTTTGGCCCGGTGGCTCTCCTGTAAGACTGCTTTCCTGTTGGCTGTGGTCTCTGCGAAAAGGGTCGGTGAGTTGCATGCACTTTCTGTCAGTCCCTCGTGCCTCCGTTGGGATCCTGAGAGGGCTGGCATTGTCTTGTGGCCTAATCCCACTTTCCTCCCAAAAGGTGCTTTCCTGTGACTATTATAACCGGCCTTTGAGGTTGGCGCGGATTGTGTCTCCACTGGATGGGGGTGGGGGCAGGCTGCACCTGCTGTGCCCTGTGAGGGCATTGGAGGTCTACATTGTAGCGACGGCGCGTGCGAGGCGCTCAGACCAGCTCTTTGTTACTTATGGTGGTGCTAGGCCGGGCAGTCCGCTTTCAAAGCAACGCCTTTCCCACTGGGTGGTTGACGTTATCAGTCGTGCGTATGTTTCAGCCGGCCACGGTGAGGGCCCATTCTACCGGGGTAGAATGGGCGGGGTGCTTTTGGGGACTATTTGTGCTGCTGCATCTTGGGCTACACAAAGCACGTTCACCAGGTTCTATAACATCAATATGGCCACTCTGGCTCCTCTTGGCGTGGTCCTTCAGGAATTCTCTGGCTCTCCTCCGTGAGGTGTGTGGTCAAGATTCTTTGTGACATAGCTGGTATAAGGTCATTTAGTGCAAAGGCACCGCCCTCTGGCGGTCAGGGGGCATGAAATAGAACGAGGGTTACGTATATAACCACGGTTCTATGAATCCCGGATGACCGCCAGAGGCGCTCTGTCACTCAGGGTCCTTGTGTTCTGCGAGAAGATTCTGCAGAAACAGAGTGCTGGGTTGACGCTGGACTTTATTACCTCCGGGGCGTCATCCAGGGGGTCACAGGTGTGACTCATTTGGTATTATTACTCGAACTGCGCATGTGCGAAGCGAACATTCAGTGCTATGCACCGCCCTCTGGCGATCATCCGGGATTCATAAAACCGTGGTTACATACGTAACCCTCGTTCTCAGGTCTGAAATGACTCTGTACCGGAGACTCTGTATGTGCTTAGGATGGACGGTGAAACATGAATAAAAGCGCAATATGGAACACAAGGGTCTGGGAGGTGGAATCGCTGCTACCTGTCATTCCCGGATTCGTCCGGAAGTTCAGTTTGATCCATTGATCATACGCAGCAGTAGATTACGTCACGGAATCTGGACGGAAGTGGAAGTAAATAACAAACTACCTATTCATGCCTAAACTAAAAGTGATTGGCTGGAGTTTGTCAGAAAGAGAGACAAAGAGGTGCTTGATTTGAAAAAAACGACGCAAGCTCCCTCCCCCTTCCTTTCTGATTGGTCTACGCCTACGTCTCCGTAACACTTTTAAATGTTAATCAGTGAACACATTATACATGTGCATTATTAATACACATGCACGGAGCTTTTCAGAATGATTTAACGTTTTAATGAAAAAAATAATGTTTTTATGCACAAAAAAAGCGATCGCGGCAAACCCGGAACAAGCTATTATCATGAATTGCACATTATTGGACACATCTGCAGAGGATCTGATTATGGATATAGGTTCGGTATATAAATGAGTACCTCAGCGCAGATGTTCAGAATTCTTTGTTCAGTTTTCATGTAGTTCCAGAGCCTAATGGAGGCTTGATTCGGAGGTTCCGTGAAAACAAACAACTGAGCATGCGCGCAGCTGCGAGCATCAGCGCCGATGATTGACAGCCCTTGGCATGACTCGATTGGTTAACCTCGACGGCACGGTGGATTCTGAACTATAGCTAAGAGAAGGGAAGGCGGGACTTGCCCGTAATATTAGAATGAATAAAATGACTTATTTTATATCAACATTTAAGGCCAGGTGGTCAATTTAATACATTTCCTAAAATTTGTAATTCATTTAGAGTTACAGACTATCACTTTAACCAGCCATTCCCATAAAATAACCCCAACCCAGCCTTAACCGTAAACTTAACCATCTTACTTAGACAACTAAAACTTAACCAGTCACCACTTAAGGACTTATTAACTGAACTTCCGGACGAATCCAGGCGTGACACCCCCAACAAGAACCTACCTGATCTGACACTTCCGGTCCAAGCCCCGCCTCTTCCTGATTAGTGATGTCATAGAGGCGTCCAGGCGCCACACAAAGATACAGCTGCAGAGAACCAATCAGATGAGAGAAGATCACCATGGTAACACAATATCACATGGTAAAATACATGTTTAAAGTTGGGGTCTGTAACGTCAGTCTCCTTAATAACACATGTAGTTTGTCCGTCAGAAGGAGCCTAAAAGTTGTTAGGAGCAAATCAGACACCACATCCTGTCTTCATTTTCTGTGTCAGACAGAGCACCAAGAGTCACTATCTGCTTCTTTTTGGGCTGCTTTAAAGCTTTTAAAGACCCCAGCTTTAAAGTCCTCACCTGTCTGCAGAGGCTGTGATCAAGTGACGTCCGTCAGAACTGAACTGGATGGAAGTCACAATCTCTGAAACATCAAACCAAGTCACTTTAACACACACACACACGCACGCAGGCACACAGACACAGACACACAGAGACACAGTCAGAGACCCACACACACACACCTGAGTGCCCATACAGAGCTGCAACACACTCTCCGCTCTCGTAGTCATGGATACAGATGCTTCTGTCTGAGCCTGAGGAGGCAATAAACGACCCCGAGGGATCAAAGGCCACCTGAGGGAGAAAGAACCCCGTCATATGGAGACTGTGTAACCATGGTTACACTGCCTATCAGCTCTAATGTGTGAGGCAGCTCTAATCCTCACTTTGAGCAGAACTCCTTCGTCGCTGCAGGATCCTTTCAGAGTCTTCGTCAGCTTCCCGCTGTCCACACTGTAGACCCTGCAACAGACCGGGTTCAGACCAGATTCAAGCGGAGGTCTTGATCTTGGTCCTACCTTATGTACCGGTCCTGGCAGGCGAAGGCGGCCTGGGTCCTGGTCTGGTCCTGGTCTGGTCCTGGCCTTGTCCTGGCCTGGTCTAGAGCCATGTCATACAGTGAACTCTTCTCCACAATGTGATGACATCGTGAAAACAGAAGCCCCGCCCCCGTCTGCAGCAGAGTATCATGGGAAACAGAGTCTAAGAACTACAACCTTGAGCTGTAAAACAACAATATCCAGAAAGAGCACTGGACAGAACCAGGTCCGAACCTGGTCAAAACCAGGTTTGAACACTGACCTGAGTCTGGACGTATATGCTCTTGTCCGTCCCACAACTCACAATCTGCAGATCAGGACTGCAACCTGAAGACAGAATTGATACTGAGACCAGGGAGAGACCAGAGAGAGACCAGAGAGAGACCGAAGAAAGCAAGATGAGAGAGACCAGAGAGGACAGAGAGAGGCCAAAGAAAGAGAGAAATCACCTCCTCCTCCCCCTCTCACCTGTGATCCTCACTGCAGTGACAGCCCCAGAATGGTCATACAGAGTCTGGATGAGGTCATAGTCCTGGTCTCGGTTGAAGATGTGGATCAGTCGGTCTCTGGAGGCTGAAGCCAGAAGACGCACTCCTGAACAAACCAACCATCAGGGGATTAATTTTCGTATTTTCCTCCTCTTCATCAGTTTGAGTTTTACCTGAGTCATGTGGAGAGAAGGTCAGACACAGCACCTCCGAGTTATGAGCCTCGATCCTCTGCACCTCCTCCAGGAAGTCTAGACTGAAGATACTGAGGAGAGAAGTGGTGAGTAGCAGGGGGAGAAGGGAGAGGAGTAGTAGAGATAAGGAGGAGAGTGTGAGGAGGAGAGTGTGAGGAGAAGATGTAGGTTGCCAGATCTGACCTGACGTTGCCATGGCGATCTCCAGTTGCCAGATGAGCTCCGTCTGGACTCACGGCCAAAGCCCTCAGTCCAGATTTCCCATCAGCCCCAGTCTCCGAGTCCGAGGCCACGACGAGGGTCCGCAGGGGGTCCTGAGGGAGTACAGAGTCAGACCTGGTCTTAGGTCCAGGGAAGACTATTTAATGGCTAATGGTTGAGGATATAACTATAATCATTCTCTAATTGAAGATTATACATTATGCAAATAAATATTATTCGATAACTGCAGACAAACTGGGCATTTTGGGCGTAACGCATCACATCCGCTGGTTGTTACGTCCAAAAAGGCTGTCTGAATTGCTATTAATAGCGCGGGCGTGAACGAATCAGTGTTTAAGTAGTGCCACCTTCACTGGACAAACAAGCTGACCTCCACCAGACTCTGACCTGGCTGTAGCAGTAGAGAGGGTCTTTGGTCCAGACTCTAATGGTGTTGTCTGAGGAGGAACTGAAGAAGGAACCACGAGAGGAACATGGGTCTGAAACATCCAGGTCTGGGAACATCTACAGGAGGAGGAGAGAGAGGGGGAGGAGAGGAGAGATAGGGGGAGCGGGAGGAGAGAGATTCAGATTCATGAATGTGTTTTGGATTGGTACAGGCTGGTCCTGGGTGCGGTCTCTTCAGCTGGACTCACCTCTAGTCCCCACACACAGCTGCGGTGGTACTGGACATAAAAGACCTGGTCTTGGTCCTGGTCTTGGTCTTGGTCCTGGTCCATACGGTGGGTGCTGATGCTGTGGTCGCTGTAGACTGCACTGAGGAGGCGTGTCTCAGGGTCAAAGGTCAGAGCCAGCGTATCCGGAAGCTCCGCCCCCTGGCGCTGCACGGTGGTGATGTATGCGAGGTCAGGAGAGAAGACTCTGACCAGGCCTTCAGAGCAACCACAGAAAATCCTGTCCTCTGAGGACACGAGGGAGAAGGACGAGGACACCTGTGGACCAGAGAGAGGTGTGATGCTGTGTGTTGTATTGCAATGTTATTTTTTTAGGATTGTACATTACTGTATCCATGTATTTTATTGATTTAACCAGGGACTGCAGATGGAAACTAGCTGTTTAGCTATAATCTGGTGCAGAACATATCTGTCTTTGAGCTTAATGTCTCCGTACACTGTCCCTTCAAATAAAGACTAAACTAAACTAAACTAAACTAAACTACCAAAAAGTCTTGGTCCTGGTCCTTACCTTCAGATGGACCCAGGCCTGCAGGTTCCTCTGGTGATTGAAGACACAGAGCAGACCAGAGCTGGTCAGACAGAAAGTGATTCCAGAAGCTCCACCCCTTCCACACGCCACTGCCACAAACACACAGTTCTTATGGTCTCCTAGCAACGCTGACCGGCCAGTCAGAGGAACCGTGCTGTTCACCTGTGGGAGAGAGCCAATCAGAGCTCAGACCATGAAAAACCCTCCACAAACACGTCCCGGTCCCGCTCCCCGGGTCCCGCTCCCCGGGTCCCGCTCCCCGGGTCCCGCTCCCCGGGTCCCCCGCTCTCCCGGTCTCGCTCTCCCGGTCTCGCTCTCCCTCTCCCGCTCGCTCTCCCGGTCTCGCTCTCCCTCTCCCGCTCTCGCTCTCCCGGTCTCGCTCTCCCGGTCTCGCTCTCCCGGTCTCGCTCTCCCGGTCTCGCTCTCCCGGTCTCGCTCTCCCGGTCTCGCTCTCCCGGTCTCGCTCTCCCGGTCTCGCTCTCCCGGTCTCGCTCTCCCGGTCTCGCTCTCGCTCTCCCGGTCTCGCTCTCCCGCTCTCGCTCTCCCGCTCTCGCTCTCCCGCTCTCGCTCTCCCGGTCTCGCTCTCCCGGTCTCGCTCTCGCTCTCTCGCTCTCTCGCTCTCCCGGTCTCGCTCTCGCTCTCTCGCTCTCCCGGTCTCGCTCTCCCGGTCTCGCTCTCCCGGTCTCGCTCTCGCTCTCCCGGTCTCGCTCTCCCGGTCTCGCTCTCCCGGTCTCGCTCTCCCGGTCTCGCTCTCGCTCTCCCGCTCTCGCTCTCCCGCTCTCGCTCTCCCGGTCTCGCTCTCCCGGTCTCGCTCTCCCGCTCTCCCGCTCTCGCTCTCCCGCTCTCCCGCTCTCGCTCTCCCGGTCTCGCTCTCTCGGTCTCGCTCTCCCGGTCTCGCTCTCCCGGTCTCGCTCTCCCGGTCTCGCTCTCCCGGTCTCGCTCTCGTCTCGCTCTCCCGGTCTCGCTCTCCCGTCTCGCTCTCCCGGTCTCGCTCTCCCGGTCTCGCTCTCCGCCGTCTCGCTCTCCCGGTCTCGCTCTCGCTCTCCCGGTCTCGCTCTCCCGGTCTCGCTCTCCCGGTCTCGCTCTCGCTCTCCCGGTCTCGCTCTCCCGGTCTCGCTCTCCCGGTCTCGCTCTCGCTCTCCCGCTCTCGCTCTCCCGCTCTCCCGCTCTCGCTCTCCCGGTCTCGCTCTCCCGGTCTCGCTCTCGCGGTCTCGGTCTCGCTCTCCCGGTCTCGCTCTCCCGGTCTCGCTCTCCCGGTCTCGCTCTCCCGGTCTCGCTCTCGCTCTCCCGGTCTCGCTCCCCGGGTCTCGCTCTCCCGGTCTCGCTCTCCCGGTCTCGCTCTCGCTCCCCGGGTCTCGCTCTCCGGGTCTCGCTCTCCCGGTCTCGCTCTCCCGGTCTCGCTCTCGCTCTCCCGGTCTCGCTCTCCCGGTCTCGCTCTCCCGGTCTCGCTCTCGCTCTCCCGGTCTCGCTCTCGCTCTCCCGGTCTCGCTCTCCCGGTCTCGCTCTCCCGGTCTCGCTCTCGCTCTCTCGCTCTCCCGCTCTCGCGGTCTCGCTCTCCCGGTCTCGCTCTCCCGGTCTCGCTCTCGCTCTCTCGCTCTCGCTCTCTCGCTCTCGCGCTCTCGCTCTCCCGCTCTCGCTCTCCCGCTCTCCCGCTCTCGCTCTCCCGGTCTCGCTCTCCCGGTCTCGCTCTCCCGGTCTCGCTCTCCCGGTCTCGCTCTCCCGGTCTCGCTCTCCCGGTCTCGCTCTCGCTCTCCCGGTCTCGCTCTCCCGGTCTCGCTCTCCCGGTCTCGCTCTCGCTCTCCCTCTCTCGCTCTCCCGCTCTCGCTCTCCCGGTCTCGCTCTCCCGGTCTCGCTCTCTCCCGCTCTCGCTCTCCCGGTCTCGCTCTCTCCCGCTCTCGCTCTCCCGGTCTCGCTCTCTCGCTCTCGCTCTCCCGGTCTCGCTCTCCCGGTCTCGCTCTCCCGCTCTCTCCCGCTCTCGCTCTCCCGGTCTCGCTCTCTCGCTCTCCCGCTCTCCCGGTCTCGCTCTCCCGGTCTCGCTCTCGCTCTCCCGCTCTCGCTCTCCCGCTCTCGCTCTCCCGCTCTCGCTCTCCCGGTCTCGCTCTCCCGGTCTCGCTCTCCCGCTCTCGCTCTCCCGCTCTCGCTCTCTCCCGCTCTCGCTCTCCCGCTCTCGCTCTCCCGCTCTCGCTCTCCCGCTCTCCCGCTCTCGCTCTCCCGCTCTCGCTCTCCCGCTCTCGCTCTCCCGGTCTCGCTCTCCCGCTCTCGCCCGCTCTCGCTCTCCCGCTCTCGCTCTCTCGCTCTCCCGCTCTCTCGCTCTCCCGCTCTCGCTCTCGCTCTCCCGCTCTCCCGCTCTCTCTCTCGCTCTCCCGCTCTCGCTCTCCCGCTCTCGCCCTCTCCCGCTCTCGCTCTCCCGGTCTCGCTCTCCCGCTCTCGCTCTCCCGCTCTCGCTCTCTCGCTCTCCCGCTCTCGCTCTCCCGCTCTCGCCCTCTCCCGCTCTCGCTCTCCCGGTCTCGCTCTCCCGCTCTCGCTCTCTCGCTCTCCCGCTCTCGCTCTCCCGCTCTCGCTCTCTCGCTCTCGCTCTCTCGCTCTCCCGCTCTCGCTCTCCCTCTCGCTCTCCCGCTCTCCCGGTCTCGCTCTCGCTCTCCCGGTCTCGCTCTCCCGGTCTCGCTCTCCCGGTCTCGCTCTCGCTCTCCCGGTCTCGCTCTCGCTCTCCCGGTCTCGCTCTCGCTCTCCCGGTCTCGCTCTCGCTCTCCCGGTCTCGCTCTCGCTCTCCCGGTCTCGCTCTCGCTCTCCCGGTCTCGCTCTCGCTCTCCCGGTCTCGCTCTCGCTCTCCCGGTCTCGCTCTCGCTCTCCCGGTCTCGCTCTCGCTCTCCCGGTCTCGCTCTCGCTCTCCCGGTCTCGCTCTCGCTCTCCCGGTCTCGCTCTCGCTCTCCCGGTCTCGCTCTCCCGGTCTCGCTCTCCCGGTCTCGCTCTCCCGGTCTCGCTCTCCCGGTCTCGCTCTCGCTCTCCCGGTCTCGCTCTCCCGGTCTCGCTCTCGCTCTCCCGGTCTCGCTCTCCCGGTCTCGCTCTCGCTCTCCCGGTCTCGCTCTCGCTCTCCCGGTCTCGCTCTCGCTCTCGCTCTCCCGGTCTCGCTCTCGCTCTCGCTCTCCCGGTCTCGCTCTCGCGGTCTCGCTCTCGCTCTCGCTCTCGCTCTCCCGGTCTCGCTCTCGCTCTCCCGGTCTCGCTCTCCCGGTCTCGCTCTCCCGGTCTCGCTCTCGCTCTCCCGGTCTCGCTCTCGCTCTCCCGGTCTCGCTCTCGCTCTCCCGGTCTCGCTCTCCCGGTCTCGCTCTCGCTCTCCCGGTCTCGCTCTCCCGGTCTCGCTCTCGCTCTCCCGGTCTCGCTCTCCCTCTCCCTCTCCCGGTCTCGCTCTCCCTCTCCCGGTCTCGCTCTCCCTCTCCCTCTCCCTCTCCCGGTCTCGCTCTCCCTCTCCCGGTCTCGCTCTCCCGGTCTAGCTCTCGCTCTCCCGGTCTCGCTCTCCCTCTCCCTCTCCCCCTCTCCCTCTCCCGCTCGGTCTCCCTCTCCCTCTCCCTCTCCCGCTCGGTCTCCCTCTCCCGCTCTCCCGGTCTCGCTCTCCCGGTCTCGCTCTCCCGGTCTCGCTCTCCCGGTCTCGCTCTCCCGGTCTCGCTCTCCCGGTCTCGCTCTCCCGGTCTCGCTCTCCCGGTCTCGCTCTCCCGGTCTCGCTCTCCCGGTCTCGCTCTCCCGGTCTCGCTCTCCCGGTCTCGCTCTCCCGGTCTCGCTCTCCCGGTCTCGCTCTCCCGGTCTCGTACTGACCCGGTTGTGAGCAGACTGGTTTAGGTACCAGAACTTCAGATGTCTGGTTCCCGCGGTGACAAAGAAGCTTCCATCGTCAGAGAAAGAAACAGCAGAGACTCGACTGGACACTTTGTTAGAGGCAACGACCACGTTTCTCTGAGGGAGGGGGAAGGAGAGAGCAGGAGAGGAAGAGGGGGATAAAAATCACAAGTAACCACAGTAGCATCAGTAACAACATCAGTATCATTAGCATTTGTAGAATTAGCATCGGTAGCATTAGCATCAGTGACATTCGCATCTGTCACAGTAACAGCGGTAGCATTAGCAGCAATAGCATTAGAAACAGTAGCATTAGCAGCAGTAGCATTAGCAGCAGTAGCATTAGCAACAATAGCATTAGCAGCAGTAGCATTAGCAGCATTAGCATTACCAGCTGTAGCATTAGCAGTAGTATTAGCATTAGCAGCAGTACCCTCCAGTCCCACACGCAGACTTTCATGTCGTGCTGAAACCCCACTGAGACCACGTAGACGTCCGAGCGGCTGAAGCAGACACAGGACACTCCGTATTTATGAGTCTGCACCTCCGCCTTCAGCGCCCCCTGCAGGTCAAACACACGCACACAGGGCAGGTGGCCACTCTACCGAGAGGGAGAGAGAGAAAGAGAAATCGAGGGAGAGACCAGAAAGAGAGAGAGGTGGGAACCAGAGAGAAAGGGAGGGAGAGACAGAGAGAGAGAAAGAGAGGGAGGGGGAGAGACCAGAGAGAGAGAGGGAGAGACCAGAGAGAGAGAGGGAGAGACCAGAGGAAGAGACCAGAGAGAGAGCCAAAGACACACACACAAAAATCTTTAATTCAAAAGGCTGTAACATAAAAGTGATAAGAGATACAGGCTTTCTGTAAATGAGAAAGAACTGGCAATCAGAAATAATGTTGATGGGAATAATCATGATGGGAATAATGACGACGATGATGGGAATAATGATTATGATGATGGGAATAATGACGACGATGATGGGAATAATAATTGTGGGAATAATGATGGTGGGAATAGCCCTTTGCTGTAGAGATCTCTGTACAGGACGGGTATGCTAGCACAGGACCATGAATGCTGGCACAGGACAATGTATGCTGGTACAGGACTCACTTCTCCTGTCACCAGCAGCTTTCCATCATGAGAGAAACTCAGAGCACTGAAGGACTTCCTGTGGACACAAACAAGCCAATCAGGAGGCAGTTGTGACACCATCAGCCCGCGGCCAATCAGGAGGAAGCAGTGACATCATCAGCCTGCGACTCACCTGGCCGAGTTGAGGATGTGGTTCTGTTTGTTAGTGATGGGGTCCAACAGCACCAGCACACACCTGAGAGAGAGTGAGACATGAGAGAGGAAGACCAGAGAGAGACATAAGAGAGTGACGAGAGAGAAAGACATGAGAAAGAGGCATGAGAGAGACCAGTTGTGTGTGTTGCTGTGGTTACACCGCGGTCACATGACTCACCCCGCTGGATAGGCCAGGATCCCAGAGGACGAGGACAGGGAAGAGACGGTGAAGCCAAACACTTGCTCCAGTCGCACCTGCACAACACTCACCACTGTAGTTTGAGCCTCTATTGCAGGTGCTAACAGATTCAAGCTGGGAGACGTCACTTTACAATCAATTACAATGAAACTCTCTGATAAAGTCCAGGTCTAACTCAAACTCTCTGAGCCTAGTTACAGTGAAGTTTGTGACCTTAAAGCTGTGGTCTATAACTATCACACCAATAGAACTCTGTATTAAATCCATGTCTCTAAGATAGTTGCTTGTGTCACTAGTTTCACATTATGGATTTGTGATTTTACATCTTTAGATCAAAGAGAGGACCACCCTCACTCAGCTAATCAGCTCTCATCCCAAAGATTCACACTCACATGTGTCTGACACAGAATACTGCATGCTGTGTCTGATTTGTTCATAACATTTTACTTTTGATTCTTTCCCTTGCTATATAATGTAATGTTCTGGAGAAAAAAGAGGCTTCTCTAACTTTAATGTACACGTTCTATAGAGGGATCCTACGGTCACGTGACTAGCAGCCACGGCAGCCATACTGGAGGACAACCTCGGCGAGTAACAGCCATGCTAGCTATCTATAACTGGACGTTCAAAACTAGAACTCTCTCGAACTACATGAAAACTGAACAGAGAATTTGAAACTTCTGCAGTTAGTGACCCAAATATATACTCAACCTAAATTCATGAATCAGATCCTCTGAAAATGCATCCTAAAATGTATTATTAATGTTTATCGTTACATCCAGGTTTACCGCGGTCGCATATTGTCGCATTAAAACAGTGTTTTTTCATGAAAACGTGAACAGAAAATTCTGAAAACCTCTGTGCACGTGTATTAAGAATGTATATGTATAATGTATTCTCCGATTAACATTTAATGTGTTTATTGTTACACCATGGATCTATGTGTGGCTACACTGCAGTGGAAATAATGAGATTACATTCAAATTAGGGCTGGGCGATATGGCAAAAAAAAAAAATCTCCGATTTTTTCACACCAAATCCGATTTTCGATTTTAAAATCGATTTATTTTTTTCTATTTAAAAACAAACTACAACTGACAAAGAAATAGATTTTCCTTTATGCAGCTTAATCTAAATCCCCATGGAGCATAAGTGTAACAGGAATTAAGCCTTAAAACATGCTTGTAAACGAGATGGCTCTGCCATTGTAAACAGTGAAAATGTAGCTTAACAGTTTTATAATAACTTCACTTACAATGACACTATGCACCTTCAAAATAACTTAAATCACACAAACAAGGCCCATCGCAAATATATCAATCCTATTAAACACATGCATTATTTACATGAAATATCACATTTTTAAAACTGATTACTCAAAGTAGAAATGTTGTAACAGTCTTTTCCAAAAGCCTCCTCGGGTTTTCATGCTTGTTCTTTCAACTGTGCCTGAGTAACTGTGCTGTAGTACAACGCTCGGTCCAGCTGGTGGCGCTAATACTAACTTCAGTGACTCCCGCATTGTGCGAGCTTCCTGTTTACATTCTGATGCTGTAGCTAACAGCTACTGTAGCAGCTACTGTAGCAGCTACTGTAGCTAACAGCTACTGTAGCAGCTACTGTAGCTAACAGACAGCGGGGAACACGTTGTTTGTATCAGAGCAATGAGAGCAATGTGTGAGACGTGTCTTTCCCCAAAGTGCAGCGGCTCAGTGGGACACGAGTGTGTGCGCGCCACGGACACGGGAGTGCGCTTTGGAATAACGAGCGTGAGAGAGCGTGAAAGATGTGGCGTACGAACATGGCGTACGAACATAGCGACCGGGGCTTGCGTGCGTGTGTTTTGGCGATCAAATAAAGTCTGATTCTTGAATGTTTGAAGTGTTATTGCAACAGCACCAACTGTGAGAGCGAGCATAAGGCCAGAGGGAGACTGTTAGCATTAGGTTAGCTTCAAAATGACTGCTCAACACCATAGACCCGCGGTTAGCGCGTTAGCGCTGTAGTTCTGCGCTGGAGAAAATAAAAATCGAATTTTTAAAAAAAGAAATCGCCCTAAACGTAAAACTCGAATTAATGATTAAAATCGATTAATCGCCCAGCCCTAATTCAAATCAATGGAGCTTTCTGCGTCTACTGTGAGGAGCCGTATATTTTATTAATAAATACTAGTACGGGGCACCCTGGAGCACGGCTCAGTCGTTCACATGTCTGCTGGCCTTCGGTAAGTCAGATACCCTGTGAACCGGGTGAGGTCCTGTGTGAGACCAAATATATAACAGCTATGCTACAAGCTAAGCTACAGTCTATGGAGCAACCCCACGTTGCAGTCAGACAGATATGTTTTATCCTTAAACTTCTGTTTGTTTTGGAATAACACTAAATCCGCCATCAAATTGATTTCACTCAGCAGAAATGAAATGATCCGAGCATATTCGGGCGCTCTGGGGGCTATTAGTTTTTTGTTGTTGCGTATGGTTGTGCCATTTCTCTCTCGTTTCTTTGAGATGTCTTCTGTTTTTGAGCCGTGTGAAGTAAGGACGGCTGGCAGTCGGTAACACAGCTTATTTTCCCTGTCTCTCTTTTTGCTGCAGCCAAAAACGGCAAAAATGTTGAACATGTTTATGCGGTCCCGGGTGCACGCCACTATCATACAGCGTTTGCTTGTCCTCCAGTATGGCGGATGCCCCGCGAGGTCGAGGCATCGTGACGTCACGTGAGATATCTCTATATCTTCACCATGGCAACACGGACTAGGGACCCGGGAAAGTTGCGCAGAGCAGCTTTAAGATTATTAAATTAGACTAAAATTATACTTTTATAGTAGAAATTCTCTGGTACTTTATAACACTTTATAAAAGTGCTTTTACTGTGTCACACCACGGCTCTGGACAGAGTCACAGCGGGATTTAGCAGCCGCTTCTTTGGAGTGAGTGTGGCTCCGGACCCGGGGACCTTCCAGGGGTTCAAACTTTACCCGGGTTTGAGCGCTCTTCCGCGGATGTGTGGTGCGACTCCTCTTCCGCAGAGCAGCGCTGATGGGTCTCCGCTTCTCCAGGGTGTCTGCCATCATGGCCCGGGGAGAGGCTCGTGTGTGAGCGGTGAAAGGCAGAATGCAGTGTCACCCAAGCCGCGAGACAACAGTGATATACGGGGAGAGACCATAGACTGTATGGAGAGACTGAGGAGTGCCCGGGGTTAGCCTGTTAGCTGCTGTTAGCTTTGTGATGCTAATGCTGTTAAGGGCGCCATGTTGGGTTTGGAGAATTCACACAAAAAGTGACACAAAAAACATTTCATAAACTATTCAAAAAATGTAATTGTAAATGAAAAGACAGTGAAGTGATAGAATGTCATGCAGCGTGGCAGGGCGCCCTTATTAGTGATATGGTGATCTACAGCCTCAGTCCTGGGTCTACAGCCTCAGTCCTGGGTCTACAGCCTCGGTCCTGGATCTACAGCCTCGGTCCTGGATCTACAGCCTCAGTCCTGGGTCTACAGCCTCAGTGCTGGATCTACAGTCAGAGGGCAGAGGTCTTATTGTTTCTGTAAAGCCGACAGACCCTTCAGAAATACATTAAAGGCTTTGAATCATCACATACTAAAAACAGCAGCCGAAAAGCACTTCAAGATCTGGCAACCCCCTCAGCGAGGCGGGAAAAAAACTTGAAATTGAACCACGCCCACTGCTCTGGTGTCAGCCAATCAGAGGCAGCGAAAAGCCCACCGCGTCAGAATAGATAGGTTTAAGGCTGAACCGCGTGTCGTACAAGGACAGACGCTTTGGGTGGTTATCTGTTCAGACTCTGCAGCAGTGCTGCAAAGTCTGACTTCAGGAGTGACTTGTCGAAATGATTTGATTATTGAAGTAAATGTGATATTATTGAATCTACAACAGATGGGTATCCAAGTGCAGTTTTGTTGGATCCCTGCCCATGTTGATATTTTTGGGAATGATGTGGCAGATAAACTGGCAAAAAGAGCACTTCGAGAAGAGAATATTATTGCAATTCCATTTGGAGGATCAGAGATAAAAAGTGTAATAAATCAGAGCATTGTTGCAGTGTGGCAGGAGATATGGGACCATGATGTTAAGGGACGACATTTGTACGGGATCAAAAAGAGTGTCAGAGCTTATAGATTAACACCTGCCAGTTATCACAGGAGAAACGATACAGCACTTACCCGCCTAAGGCTCGGACATACAGGACTGAACTCAACATTGTTTAGAATAAATAAGTCTGCTACAGATAAGTGTGACATGTGTGATGTAAGTGAGACAGTCGAGCATGTGCTGTTGAAATGTGAAAAGTACAGTGTGCAAAGGGATGCTTTTAAGGGCTCAGTGATAGAAGCAGGGCGGGAGTGGAAAATGGAGGGTATTTTGGGAGAGGGGCTTAATCAAGAGAAGGCATGGAGGGCACTATTTTATTTTTTAAATTCAACAAAAATCATAGACTGTAACATTGTACCAAAGGCATGGAGTATTACGCTCTGATACAGTAGGTGGCGGCATACGTCAATGCTGATTCGTAGCCCGCCATAAAATTACAGAAGAAGAAGTACAAGGACAGAGATGCTCATCCTGGTCGTCTCTTGTTCCACTAAACATGAGAGATGCTGGAGTGTTAAATTCTTTCAAACTCTATTAACATGAGAGCATCTTAATGGACTGGCACAGAGGTCAGTCAGCAGGGCAGGGCTTGGTTGGTAATGTGAACAGCAGGTGCCACAGTAGTGCGGATACTGCTGTAAAATTGTGCCCTTCCCATATCACACTGGTGTCCTCACTTCTGTCAGTGTGCCCCATGGCAGCTGTGGCGTCAGGAGAAGTTTATTTATCACCACCACTGTTTGGAGTGAGAGAACAATGAGTAAAACCCATGTTGCATTATTATTAAAATTGACTCATCCATGTAAAATAATTGATACTTTTTTCTCAGGCTCGTGGGCCAAACAAAGCCCACAACACTTTTCAGTGGCCCCTAAGATGATATTTATTATTAATTGCAGCATCGATGGTAATGGGTGACCGGGACAATTTTCTCAGGAAAACAACCACATTTTATTTATTGTAAAACCCATTAGAAGGTAAATAGTTCAATACAAAACAATCTGTTTATAATAATAAGACTCCAAACACCTGCAAAATGTGACAGTTAAGAAAAGGAAGTCCTTCTGCTCTTGGAACGACCACTTCCTGTTTGGTTTCTCAGCCTCTCATTTTGACGCCTTCACTTTGTTACATTGAGCAGCACAGTGGCTGGGCTCTCTCATTCCTCAGGTCCTGGGTTCGATCCCACTTGCAGACACTGAGTGCAGTTTGCATGTTCTCCCTGTGCTGCGGTTTCCACTCTGGAGCCAGGATTCAATGTTAAACATTCCTCCATCCATCCATCTTCTTCCCCTTGAGCTTTTTCTGGGTCGGGGGTGGCAGTCAGAGCTGCACCCAATTCACAGAGCACAGCCCCTCTCTGATCCTCCTGCAGGTGGTGAGGCCACAGGAGGAGCTCTGTCAGCAACAGCATGGCCTTGATCTTTCAGCGGCGGCTAAAGATGCAGTCTGCATGTTCTCCCTGTGTTGCTACAGTCTATGGTTGCGGTCTCCTGTCTGGGACCAGGGTTCAGTGGGAAACACAGACAATAAAGACACGTATGAAATTATATTTATTACAAAACTCTTCACAACAAACTCTGTTGTTTTTGTACAGACGGGGCATCTAGGGGAACACAGTCTCTGCACATCCAGACCACCACAAACCGGAAAGTGCAACATCATAGTATGAAGGCCTATGATTGGACGAGAGGCCGTGGGCGTTGCAGAAGCTGGCATCTGATTGGTCAGTTCTTCATAAAGGCACATGGGTAAGAATCAGCCAGAACAATAGTGTTGCAGACCAGAGAGAGATCAGAGAGAGTGGTGTTAGGTGACTGTGAACACAAACAGGAGTGAGGTTAGCTCCTATTAGGTCCCTGATGGTGAGCTGGGGCGGGCTCTAGAGCTGACCTCAGGATCGGAACACGTGCACGGCTCGGACCACATACTGTCGGCAGATGGGGCACTCGCTCATGCGTTTGCCGCACTGTGTGCACGTAATCATGTGACCACACTCCAGCAGCACACAGTCTATGGGACTGTCCATGCAGATCCTACACTGGAGGTCTTCTGCTGCAGCACCCTCTGCTGGGGGAGAGAGGGGGGGTGGAGAGAGGAGAGACAGAAGGGGGGGAGAGAAGCACACACAGCAAAGAAATTAGGTATAGAACTACATACAACGAGAACATGTGTGTGCCGAGGTCCCAAAATACTATTTAGAACTAGAGTGTGTGTGTATTTTTCTTATAGTGTGTGTGTTACCATGGAGACTGTTCTTGTCTCTGTACAGTCTCTTCACTCTCTCCATCAGTTCCCATTTCTCGCAGCAGCCTTTGAAGTCTACAAAGTTTCGAGCCAAAATCTCCTTCAGTCGACGAACGCTGAGTTTCTCCACGTCCTCCTCACGAGTCAGGTCTGAGAGAGAGGCGCGTCTGTAGGGGGAGCCCTGTAACCATGGTAACAACACACACACGAGACAGGTCTGTGGAGAGGCGTGTCTGTAGGAAGAGCCCTGTAACCATGGTAACAACACACACACACAAGTCAGGTCTGTGGAGAGGCGTGTCTGTAGGGAGAGCCCTGTAACCATAGTAACAACACACACACACGAGTCAGGTCTGTGAAGAGGCGGGCTTCTAACCTGCTCCTCCTCCTCCTCCTCCTCCTCCTCCTCGTCCTCCTCATCTTCCTCCAGGACATTCTCTGATGTGTCTCTCAGGGGCGGCTGTAGGGGAGGGGTCTCTCTGTGGGCTGTGGGTGGAGCTTGTGCTGTTGTGGGCAGGGCTTCTCCATCAGGGGGCAGAGCTTGTGTATCTGTGGGCATGACTAAAGGAGGAGGGGCGGAGTCTGGAGTGGATGCTTCTGAAGACGACTGATGTCCCAACACCAGCTCCACCAGGTCCTCCTGCAACAGAGACCTTAAAGTAGTACTAGAATTTAATATGCTGCTATCCAGAATATATAACTACAATATGTGTTTATAATATTTCGGGTGTTCATTTTGACATGTTCAGATGAATTATGTTAAAAAAACGGCTTTGAAGTGGCACCTTTTAACAAACGCTAGGGGGGGCCAAAATGGCGGCGATGACGTAGGAGAATGACCTCTCACAGCAGCGGACAGAGGTCTTGGCTGGAAACTGTAGGAGGTTTTACTGTCATCTGAACAAGGTATAAACATATTTTCATCCGTTTTGTACATAATAGTGTGCAACTCTTTTAACCTTTTAGCCTTATTTGTGAGATTCAAGCAAACTAGTGTTGGGCAAGTTAGCTAACTCTACTTGATATCATAAAACATGCTAACAAGGCTAATATTCGTTTTTACATTATGCCAGTCTCACTTTGGTTGCCTTAGATTTATTTACCACAATGTACATTGTAATATCCATAAATGCTAATCAAAATAAATTAAATGAATATTTTACTTTTATGAACAAAAAGCTGCAGAAGTTGAAAACATAGACTAGATGTGATGCAATCATTGATAAAAATGATAATTAAACCGTTAATAGGTGTTAGCATTTATGGATATTACAATGTACATTGTGGTAAATAAATCTAAGGTAACCAAAGTGAGACTGGCAAAATGTGAAAAACGAATATTAGCCTTTTTAGCATGTTTTATGATATCAAGTAGAATTAGCTTGAATCTCACAAATAAGGCTAAAAGAGTTGCACACTATTATGTACAAAACGGATGAAAATATGTTTATACCTTGTTCAGATGACAGTAAAACCTCCTACAGTTTCCAGCCGTGACTGCTGTCTGCTGCTGTGAGATGCCCTTCTCCTAAATCATCGCCGCCATTTTGGCCCCCCCTAGCGTTTCTATGCGGAAGTGAAAAAGTGCTACTTCAAAGCAGTTTTTTTAACATAATTCATCTGAACATGTCAAAATGAACACCCGAAATATTATAAACACATATTGTAGTTATATATTCTGGATAGCAGCATATTAAATTCTAGTACTACTTTAATATGGTATGGTCTATGGTCAGGCACACAGAGGAGCAGAGATAAGCTCATTCAACTGACGTGAAATTGCCTCTAAGCAAGAAATGGCTATAGTTTGGTAATAAGATGAGTGTTTTATGGTGTATCTACCACATTATCACACCTTTTCTCTGCAGAGGTCAGAGGTCGTGTGTGTCCTGACCTTTTCTCTGCAGAGGTCAGAGGTCATGTTTGTCCTGACCTTTTCTCTGCAGAGGTGAGTTGACACATGGTGCAGGTGCAGATAGTCTCGTAGCTCCTTCACTTTCAGTTTCATAAGCTCCGCCCTCTGCAGGAGGTTACCGTAGAAACGCTGACAGGTGTGACAGAGTCGGGGGCGGGGTTCCATGTGAGCCGAGCATCGGCTGCAGTAGCCTCGCCCACAATCCACACACACATACTGCAACAAGACCAGAGCGAGACTGAGTTTAGACCAGAGAAAGACCAGGTTCGACCAAAGAGAGACTAGGTTTCGACCAAATAGAGACCAAATTTAGACCTGGAGCAGGCCTAAAGCTGGGATTGTCCTCTAGACCAGGTCCAGTACCTTGTTCTGGGAGCTAGTGAAGACTCCTCCACAGTTGGTGCAGCTCTGTCCTGGAGCAGGCTGGTTCTGGACTGGCCCCCTAGCGGCACCCCTGGAGGACCCCCTGGAGGAGCCCCTGGAGGAGCCCCTGTTAGACCCGAGTCCTGAGGCTGGCTCTGGGACTGGACTGGTCTCTGAGTCCAAGCAGCAGCAGAACCACATCCTGTAAAGACAACATCTTATTTATTTGATCTATCTTTGTGTTTATTGGACAGGGACAGTGTACATTCATGAACATTGCTGTTATTGTTGTCCCTGGACAGGTTAAAAAGCAGAAATTATTCAACAACAATAGAACATATGGGGTTCCTCAAGGTTCAGTCTTGGTCCAGTTTTATTCTTCACATACTTTAACGGAGACGTATTATGAAAATTACACTTTTTTGGGCTTATTCCAGCATTGTTCATCATCAGTCACAGACCTGAAGTTGTTTTTAGATCTCTCCATGCTAATATCAGGAAGACCAGAGAAAGAGGCCAGAGAGACCCCAGAGAAAGACCAGAGAGGCCAGAAAGAGACCTGAGAGAGACCTGAGAGAGACCAGAGAAAGAGACCAGAGAGAGACCAAAGAGAGACCAAAGAGAGAGACCAAAGAGGGAGACCAGTTGACCTGTGGTGGAGGTGTAATGTGTCATCGGAGTGTGACCCGCTCAGTACATATTTACAATTTTTCTAAGACATCCCACAAATATTCTCATGTCTAAAAAATATCACTTTTGCTGCAAAAACATATTCGATTGCATGATGTTGTTCTTGTATAAAATCATTGAATTGATCTCGGAAACTTGAGGAAATATTCCAACAAGCAGAGTCTCTGTGTGTGTGTGTTTCCTTGTTATTGATTCTCACACACACGAACAGAGACACACACACCCACACACACACACAGGGACACTCAAGTCAAAGATATTTTCATTTTGAATTATATAAACATAAATATTCACAGTCGTTGCACCATTACAAAATAGGTTATTTCAATTATTTGTGTAGCTCGAGTGGGGAGAAAACAGAAAGAGACCAGAGAGAGACCAGAGAGAGACCCACACACAGACTCACGAACACACTTATGTTGTTGCTTGCGTTTAGTCTGAATGTGTCTTTAATGCCATTCGCTGTTTGTTGATGGCTGTAACATGGGACTAACTACAGATAGAAACTCGTATTCATTCAAATAAATAGTTAATTAGATAAAACTACATACACGTATTAGTGCCGTGTCCCCTTCTGACACCATTATAATGTACAGTAGTTATTATGCGGTAATAAGTAGCTGTCACAGGCATCGTAAACAAACCCGGAAACACACTTTTAAAAATGTATTCCCCGAGTGAAGTTACGGTCAGAGCGTAAGAAGTGAAAGTGGTGAAGTGAGTTACAGTGTTATAAAGTGGGTATAAGTGACTGACAGAGCGCGTGGAAGCTGTGGGGAGAGGTGCGTGAAAAGTGCGTGAGAGCGAGTGGACGTTACCTCGGAGCTAAGTGGCTAACGGAGCTAGCACCAGAACCGGAGGGGTGAGCACAAACAAGCCAAAAACCGCGTCACCAAGGCGGCATGGCAACCCGGAGGAGCGCCGTGGTGGTGAGGCGAGCGGGGTGGACCGTGCTGAACTGTGCTGAAGCAGGCTGCTGCTAGATAGACCGGGAGAGAGAGGGATAAAAAGTGGAAAGAGAGGAGCAAAAGTTTGTGACAACAGAGACCCGGAAGTGTGCGTCAGAATGCGTCACGTGTACACACCTGTGGAAAGGGACAGGTGTTGTTGTGTCTTTCCCTGTATTCTTAGTTTCTCTGTTGTGTGTCAAAAGGACTTAAAGCTGCGCTACGTAACTTTGTGAAGGTAGATCACCTTTATTACCTCATGGAAGATAAATCCATTATGCTGTCATAGTGTGGATGATTTAATTTGCGTCACATCGTTTTACAATAATGACACGCATAGAATTTACACACGTACACACACATATGTGAGATAGCTGTGCTTCTAAGTAAATTAACTTGTGTGTGTGGTTAGCTGTGCTTCTAAATGTAGCTAGAATTCCACATTGTCCTCTGTCCTGTGAATGTTTGAATTATTCAACATATACAGTATGTGACAAGAGAACACACACACACACACACGGAACTGTAACCATAGACTGTAAATATTAGCTGTAATACACACACACAGCTGTAAGTGCTACTGAACCAGGGGGCTTAATAATGATCTGTGGCTGAAGTTGGCTGGATGACAAAGACCAGCTACAGAGTGCTACTAACAGAATGTGTGACGGAAAAATAAAGAATATATAAATCAAATGAACACCAGAGACACTGACGCTTATGTAGTAAAGAGCAGAAGTGAGACACTGCAGTATTGCACATGATTGCAGTATGTGAATTTGTATTTTACCTTTGACTTTTATGTCCAAACAACGTTCTTATACCAGTATCTGTACTCTAGTATCAGTATTTTAGTATCTGTACTGCAGTATTTGTACTCTAGTATCTGTACTTTAGTATCTGTACTCTAGTATCTGTACTTTACAATAAAATTACAAAACAATACAATACAATTTATTCTTGTATAGTCCTAAATCACAACAGAAGTCATCTCAGAGGACTTAACAAAACCATTGAAATCACCAACACAGATCAGAGAATCAACAGTTGAAACACATAAAGAATATAGAGCACATGTTGATAAATGTCATACATGTTGTAGAATGTTAAAGTGTCCTGGATCATCACCACAGTCCTTCTAGTTGGACACTAACTGTCCAACAGACCCTCCTGCATTGGCAAGGAGAAACTAACAAGAAAACCCAGTGGGAAAAAGTGAGAAACCTCGGAGAGACCCATGGTTTGAGAAAGGGATCCGCTCCTCCTGGACGGACAGGCTATAGATCCAGGACCTAAGCAGAACGTGGACCAGTGGCCACTGAGCGTGGACAGGTCCGGTGCAGGACTGAAGAACTCCCAGGCGGGTCGGGCAGGGCAGTCTGATACTTTAGTATCTGTACTTTAGTATCTGTACTTTAGTATCTGTACTTTAGTATCTGTACTCTAGTATCTGTACTCTAGTATCTGTACTCTAGTATCTGTACTCTAGTATCTGTACTCTGGTATCTGTACTCTGGTATCTGTACTCTGGTATCTGTACTCTAGTATCTGTACTTTAGTATCCATACTTTAAACACATAGGAGCCATTGGTCCATAGGGAGCGGGGTGACCACTGTCCAGAAATAAATGTCCAGGAACATCACTCAGAAAGCCAGGACCGAGGCTGTAGATCCAGGACTGAGGCTGTAGACCCAGGACTGAGGCTGTAGACCCAGGACTGAGGCTGTAGATCAAGGACTGAGGCTGTAGATCCAGGACTGAGGCTGTAGACCCAGGACTGAGGCTGTAGACCCAGGACTGAGGCTGTGCGGTGCTGGACTGAAGAGGCTTCCTGGCTGGTGACCAGTCCACAGGTGCAGATCAAAGAGGTCAGATTTAGGGACGCTGCGACAGTAAACTGTTAGGTATCGGATTGGCTTCTCGTTTACATGAAGACTGTGTTTCAGATGAAAAAGCAAGCGTTGAGAAACAGTCCCAGAGTGGAACAGAACAGATACGCTGTGCGGCGGGGGGCTGTTTCACAGCCGCGGGAAGGTGTGAATTCTCTGCCTGCTACTTCCTCCCACGTACTGTACATTTGGACATGCACAGTAGCCGAGTACAAAACGTAAACAAGAATGGTGGTGGATCAACTAATGCTAACTTGTGCTTCCAGCGCTATACACAGAAGAGAATTCTACTCCTTTTTCCGTTTCAGTTTCCATTTTTGCTGCTACTGTTAAATGCAGAATTATGTTGGCGCTTTCTAACACGTCTTTGCCGTGGCCTGAGGAGAATATTGTTTAGAAAGTGTCGTAGGTGTCCGAAAAAGTTGTTGAAGTTCCACTGCCCAATACTGGCCGGGCGCAAGAACTACATAGTTTTTTATTGTTGTTTAGACGCTGTGTACTTTGAATAAGGAGAGGGAGGATCAGTGAGGGGCTGGTGCTAAGTGTACTGGGTGCAGCTCTTACTGCCACAACCCCCCAACCCAAAAATGGATTAAGGAGAAGAAAATGGATGGATGGATGGACCAGCAAGACTGCACTGTTCCAGACCATTCAGTTCCAGACTGATGTTTCCGCTCAGGCGCTCCGCGGGCAGCACTTCGCGCCGCTCTGAGCTGAAGGACCTCCTTCTCGCACACAGCAGCAGTAATGGCGGAGTACGACAGCTACGACGACCGGGACCGGGCCTACAGCAGCTTCGGCAGCCGCGGGTAAGTGCGCGGAGAGAAAGGGCAAAGGGCGGGAGGCCCCGGTGTACGCTGCACGGTCCCCGGAACAGAGAGCTCAGAGGCGGGTGCAGGGCTGGCTCTGTCCCGCTGCAGCTAACCAGGCTAATGATGCTATCCAGGCTAACACTGCTAATGCTAAGAGTGCGCATTGCTCCATGTGGCTGAGGCCCAAGGAGGAGAGGCAGGGGCGGGCGTGGAGCAGTTGTGAGGCCCGGGCAGTAGAGGCTGGGCCGGATAGGAGAGGCTGTGAGGCCCGGGCAGGAGCGGGAGGTGGTGCGTGTGCAGAGGCTGCATCATGTTGAGCTGCTCCAGAAACGCACGGACTGTACTTTCTCATCATTGTCATGATTATAACATGTTAATAATAAGATGCAAAAAAAACACTGCTGCAAGTCCACAGAAATCTTAAATCTGGGGTCTGTAACTTTAGTCTCTTAAATAACAAATGTTATGATCTAAATGATCAAAGAGATTTGAACAATTGTAAAGCACTTTGGGTGACCTTGGTCTATAAAATGTTCTTTATAAATAAACATTACTTACTAAAGATTTGACTTCACAAATACATGATGTGAAACAATTGATAGAAGCAACTGTTTTAGAGCCAGAACCAGAGACATGAGTTTGATACAGTGTTTGATTGATCTGAAAGTTACAGACCCCAGCTTTAATTACGAGCCCGATGTTGTCCACACGTCTCTCAATTCCGTTCACTCTGTGTGACTTTAAAAAAAGCTCTGCCCCTTAGAAGTCTTTCCAAAGTAAACTGGCCTCCTGTTGGGGCTCTGAGGAGCACAGGGACTGGCCTCAGACTTACTGTTTTACAGTGTGTTTTAATTGTTGTCCTTGTGAAGCACATTGCATTTAGTATGAACTGTGTAATAGAACTAAACTTGATTGATCATGTGCATCTGTCTCCACACAGACACAGGGAGAACATGCAAAGACTCAGAGACCGGACGTAGTGACACCGGAGATAGCAGTTGAAACTTTAAAAAGCCAGCAGTAGCTGTAGTAGCCCTCATCATAGCTGCAGTCTAGGTGTAATCTCTGCATTTGTTTTGTTGACTAAGGAGACGTGCGTATTATCCCTGTAATGCTGCTTTCACACCAGATCATGCGTTGTGTCGACTTTCAATGCAAAGTCAATGGTGACGCGCGTTCGAGCGTCGACCTGCATGTGCGTCTTGGGATGCATGCACGGACTGCGCGGTAGAGACGCAAAGACGCGGCAGAGGCGCAGGAGCGAAAAATTGACACACGCAGGAGATAAATATTGCTGAACGTTTCCTCGGTACGCTCGTGCAGTGACCAATCCGAGAGCCGCAAAGTGGTCACGGGGACATCAGTGGTCTGAGCGAGCAGACTGAACATACTGTAAACAGCCAAAACAGGAGCTACACCAGGACTAAACCAGGGATGACAATGGGGGACATAGTGCTTGTGAACATTTGCGTTTTCATGCTCCCATGACTTTATGCAACTGCTTCGAGCGTGTTCGCCGATGCAGAAGTACCGTTTGATAATAAAATAAAAGTAGGGTGCACCTCCGTGAACACATACTGCTGTTATATAAAGTCTGTGGAAGGTCTCTGGACACTGAGATGCTGCAAAGCTGCATTATTGGAGAAGATCTGTACACAAGAAGCCGCTAGCATCAAAGTCCGCCTGCCACTGCTGGCCAGAACTTCTGGTCTGAACATCCCTGCGTCTGAAAATTAGAGAATGTGCATCTGGTTCGCAAGGCGTCAGCGTTCCAGCGGCGGTGGTGTGAAAGCACCTTAAGAGCTGCTGTCGGCACACGTGTTTGCGGCTGGCACTCGTACGTTCACTTTTGATATGCAGAATGATTTGCATTAAAAATGCTATATTACTTAACCCTACTTTGCCCAAAAGCCCCAACTGAAAGATCTCAGCTCCTGTGGACTCACCACCTGCAGGAGGATCAGTGAGGGGCTGGTGCTCTGTGGACTGGGTGCAGCTCTGACTGCCACCCCCCCGACCCAGAAATGGATTAAGGGGAAGAAAATGGATGGATGGATGGATGCTATATTATACATTTTTGACTTCTCTGGTTGAAATATCATTTCGAGGCTTTTGGCTTCATATACATGTAGGCCTGTCGCGATATTCAATAAATCAATTAATCGCATGATAATTAAAATTAGCTCGATAGTTTTCCTAGCCGCAATGAATTCCATTTACATGCTTGTTTGTTTTCCTGTCTCTCTCTCTCTCTCTCTCTCTCTCGGGTCAGAGAGCTGCAAAGTGGTCACGCAGACTGAAATAACTCAAAAATACAGAATACAGCCAAAACAGGACCTAAACCAGGACTAAACCAGGTCTTAGCCAGGTCTTAGCCAGGTCTTAGCCAGGACTTAGCCAGGTCTTAGCCAGGTCTTAGCCAGGACTTAGCCAGGACTTAGCCAGGACTAAACCAGGACTTAACCAGGATTGACAACGGGGGGCACAGTAGTTGTTCTCATTCAGGCTATAGTTGTGACTAAAATAGCGCAGTTAGCTAACTAGCTAGCTAGCGTGTTGCGTGATGCGAAAGTACCGTTTAATAATAAAATAACATTATATTATGTATCAAGTCTCTGTAAGGCCTCTGGACAAAGAGACGCTGCAGAGCTGCATTTTTGGCAAGAACTTCACACAAAAAGCCGCTAGCTTGATGCTAAAGGAGTTAGCATCAAGCTAGCGGCTTTTTACTTCCGCCACTTCCGGCGGTGGTCTTTAAAGTAGTACTAGAATTTAATATGCTGCTATCCAGAGTATATAACTACAATATGTGTTTAATATTTCGGGTGTTCATTTTGATATGTTCAGATGAATTATGTTAAAAAAAACAGCTTTGAAGTCGGACCTTTTAACAAACGCTAGGGGGAGCCAAAATGGCGGCGATGACGTAGGAGAATGACCTCTCACAGCAGTCTGGTTGGAAACTGTAGGAGGTTTCACTGTCATCTGAACAAGGTATAAACATATTTTCATCCGTTTTGTACATAATAGTGTGCAACTCTTTTAACCTTTTAGCCTTATTTGTGAGATTCAAGCAAACTAGTGTTGGGCAAGTTAGCTAACTCTACTTGATATCATAAAACATGCTAACAAGGCTAATATTCGTTTTTACCTTATGCCAGTCTCACTTTGGTTGCCTTAGATTTATTTACCACAATGTACATTGTAATATCCATAAATGCTAATCAAAATAACTTGAATGAAATAAATATTTGACTTTTATGAACAAAAAGCTGCAGAAGTTGAAAACATAGACTAGATGTGATGCAATCATTGATAAAAATGCTAATTAAACCGTTAATAGGTGTTAGCATTTTTGAATATTACAATGTACATTGTGGTAAACAAATCTAAGGCAACCAAAGTGAGACTGGCATAATGTAAAAACGAATATTAGCCTTGTTAGCATGTTTTATGATATCAAGTAGAGTTAGCTAACTTGCTCAACACTAATTAGCTTGAATCTCACAAATAAGGCTAAAAGGTTAAAAGAGTTGCGCACTAGGGCTGGGATAAACGATTATTTTTTAAACGATTAATCTAGCGATTATTTTTTCGATGCATCGATTAATCTAACGATTATTTTTTTCGATTCGATTCTCGATTATCTCCCCATTAATTGACTAATATTGATGTATACATGTTGATTTAAATATTTTAATGAAAAAAACATGAATTCCTTCACAAAAAATATTTATTACTTGCTCTTAAAATTCAAAAATAAGACATTCTTAGAGGTAGCATAAAACCTTAAAGCCTTAAACACAGCTTACTGAAAAAAGTGCATCTTATCATTCTTGAAACAAACATTTGATGCTTAGCATTCAATAAAAATATGAAAAAGTTCAGCCAAATACTTGTGTAGAGCAACTAAAAGAAAACAGTAACCAATGTAAACTTGAAGGCTTTAAGCTAAACAAAGAGTGCTTTTCCAGCAAAAACAGTGGGAGCATCAGCCTGTCATGGCGTCCTTCCTGAACCAACAGAGTTTAACATTTAAGTTGAAGACACATAGGCCTATATTACTGAAGTCCATTAATTAAAGTGCATCTCTTAAATTCTTCATTCATATAAAAATAACAGTCAAAACTCTGCCACTGGGGGGGGGGGGGGGGGGGGGGGGGGGTGCTGGTCGGCCGGCAAAAATTAACAATGACATCGTTAATTGGTCAAATACAGCTTTATTGGACTGATCAAAATATCAAACATTATTCACACGCTGTATATTACACTATAAATACTGTTAACGCTGTATAAACCTACTTGTTGCAAAAAATAACATTATTCACACGCTGTATAAACACTATATTACACTATAAATACTGTTAACGCTGTATAAACCTACTTGTTGCAAAGTTTGCATGTTTTATCAGAGCACCTGATTTTTCGGGGCTGGCAAAAAAAAGATTTTAATGCCATATCATAAGGGAAGTCCTCAGGACAGGGTCCATTGATGGAGTTTGTTCCTGAGGTCTGTTTTCACCTGGAGATAAAGCAAAATGATAAATTATTATCAATGCAAAATGCACCAATATAAAGACAATGGGAATTTTTTATTGCTATTACCCTGTTCATTGCAGAGAAATCCCGTTCACAGTTCACAGAGGAAACAGGGATAACCAAAGCAATGCTTGCCAGAAGAACAACTTATATAGCTAATTACACTGCGGACTGTTTCAGACCGATACCTCTGGTTCAGGCTGATCCTCATCCTCAACGCGTGTCTTTTTCAATCGCGGAAAATATTGTTCAATACTCATCTGGATTGAAGCAGCAAACATTCAGTGTAAGAGTAAAAAAATGACATAAAGTTACTTATAACTTTATTTCTTGCTACAGCTGCTACATAGTGTTTTGACCCCGACAACCCAACTACATACCGCAAACTTGCGACTAATTAACTTTATAAAGAAAGCGTCATCGCTTGTTAAGGGAGTCGGGACGGAAATTCAACATTG